TGGCCCCATATCTTTTTTAACTTATAAATAAAGATGTTTCCATCCCTTCTGATTAGAGGAGTAACACATGATTATAGATACAAAGTGGGAAAAAATGGCTGTTCTGCCTCTCGCCCATCTAGGAGCAACAGGGAAGCAGCCTTAGCTTCCTATAGATTCCTATCCACCCTGCAGTGGAGGAGGAGGGGCTGCTATAGCCTTCAAGGACCAACACCCAGTCCCTGCCATCCCAGAAGCAGAAGGTAGGAGCTGCTGCCCAATGTGTGCTGATGCCATTCTGCCCCCTCATCCATCCAAGAGCAAGGAAGAAGAGGTCTCCTAGCCTTAGCTCCTCAGGGAATCCTGCCGAGTCTGCAGTACGGGAGGAGGGGCTGCTGTGGCCTTCAGTCTTCACTTCAGGACAGTGAGGTTTTGGAGCAATTCCCTCCCCACAACTGCCTCCCTCCCCCAGCAATAAAAGGAAAGAAATTCCTCTGAAAACGTAAACCTCAAATTCCCACTGTGGATTCCACATTCCCACCCACAGTAAAGGAGGGAAACTGGCACTGGACTAATTCACATCATAGGGAAGCACATGAGTACGCAGCTACAGAAACACACTCCAAAGAAGTAGGAAGACATTACCACCAGATAACTAGAAAGTCAAAGCAGAGTCCCAAGAAACAGGAGAAAACTAGGAAATACCTCTCCTCTCAAGGAACATAACTCTTTACCAACAATGGATAAAACACAAGAAATCACAGAAATGTCGGAAAAAGAATCCAGAATTTTCATTGTAATAAAACTCAATGAAATGCAAAGAAAACACACAACCAATTCCAGGAGATGAGCAAATCCTTCCATGACTTGAAGGAGGAATTCCACAAAGATAGACACCCTGAAAAAGAACCAGACAGAAACCCTGGAGATGAAGAAAATGATGCAGGAAGTCAAAACCTCCCTCAAAAGTAGGAACAACAGATTAGACCACGAATCTCTGACCTTGAAGACAAAACCTGTGATTTAGTCCAAGCCACTGGAAAGAACAGAAGAAAAACATTAAAAAGGAAAACAACGTCAGCAGGTGAGATTGTGGTTAAGGCACTGGACCCGACATGGCCAACCACTGTGAGTCTTGGACCTGACAGCATGAAAATCATGCTGGGCGCATGTGCATGCATGCTCAAAATCCCAAGAGGAGACTGGAGAAGCAACTGCACCATAGCCATCCCCCTGGGGAAGAGGGTGGTTCCTCACTTTCCTCTCTGTCTTTCACTGTCTCTCTTTAGCAAGCACATGTGCCGTATGACAAAAACCTACTAAATAAATAAATAAATACATTTTAAAAAAGAGAGAGCAAGAGAAGAGAAGTCAGGAAAACATACAGGAAATCCTAGACATCATTAAACAGCCAAATAGCTGCATTATAAGTATTCTAGAAGGTGAAGAGGCAGGTCAAAGCATAGAAAATCTCTTTCATGATATATTAACTGAAAACATTCCTAATTTAGAGAGGCATATAGACATTCAAATCCAGAAAATACAAAGGACACCAAATAGTTACAACCTAAGAAGATCCTCTCCAAGGCATATCATAGCCAACTTGGTAAAAATCAAACACAAAGATGATATTCTAAAAATGACAAGAGAGAAATGCCAAGTTACATACAAAGGCTATCCCGTTGTAGACAAACACTGGACTTCTCACCTGAAACAATGCAGGCAAGTAAAGAATGGGAAGGTATATTTAAAACTCTGAAAAGAAAAACAATCTCACCCAACAGAGAGTACTGTACTGGCAAGCAGGAAGGAGAAATAAAAATCATTCCCAGATAAATAAATGCTGGAAGAATTCGCCAAAACTAAATTAGCTCTTCAGGAATCACTTAAGCAGGAAAACTAAAGGGAGATAAATAGAAGCAAGAGAACATTAAACAATTAGGAAAAAAAGAGTAGAAAAAGGACAGGGATAAATCCACACGTATTGATAATAACATTGAAAATCAGGACTAAATTTCCAACTAAACAGCTAAAAATTCAGATTCAACTATTAATTCTACTATTAATATTTTACAAACAAGCAGGTTTAAGTATAAATTCACCAATTATTTGATAGACATCTGTTTCTAGACCATCTGCTTTTCAGGGCCAGACCTGTATGAAAACTCCACGTGTTGATCGATAGTTTTGCTTGTATCCACAGGTTTCATATTGTATTTTTATATTATTGTAACCACTGCTCTTTGTATAAAACTAGAGAACAGAGGCCAAGTCCAAAATGTTACAAGTAGCTGAGTCTTTCTTTGCAATGAATTTAAAGTAGGCTAAAATCAAGAACTTTAAAGTCTATAAATCACCAAAATACTGATTTTCCTAACCTTTTAAACATCTCTTTCCAATTTCGTTTTGTGTTTGCTTTGTTGAGGACTTCTTTCTTTATGCATACTACTATGGTATGCATAGTACTAAGGTCTTATGAGAACTCACAGTGAGTGAGGAAAAGTTTTCTTTTCCTATCTCTTCCTAAGGAGCTATTGTTACATAAAAGTTTACCTATCTCTAACTGGATAGATGATCTTTTCAGATGGTAAACTCTTATCTCCCACAATCCTCTACATGGAAATGACAAATTCTTCTTCTTTCATTGGCTATATTATCTTTGTTTTCAAAAATCCATCCTCACTCATTTATGAGACTTTTTGTTGTCTGATTTTAAACCACTTTGTTTTTCCTTAGAACTGTATTTCACAATAAAGAATACTATTGACAATTCATTATATTCTTCCAAAATAACCAGTAGGGCACATTTAAAATATTCTCAACATAATGTAATGTCAAATGTCGAAGGAGGTGAATATGTTTATATTCTTGATTTGTTTATTGTATTTAATAAACATTATGTCTATGCCACCACATATGTATTTTTTTAGAGGTCTTTGCCTTAGGGTACACTTGCTGGAGAGAGAGAGAGACAGAGACAACGAGAGGAAAAGTGAGAAATCGCCCTCCAGCAGGATGGCTATGCCTCAATCCCTTTTCCTCCATTCCCCTCCCAGGATCTTGGACATGCCCAGTGTGTTCTAAGCCACCAGGTCTGGGACTCAAACCACAATCGGCCATGTGGGAGTCCCATGACATATTTGGTACACCATCTCCTGGTTTACAGTATGTATTTTTTAAAAAGAATTATTTATTTAATTTTATTTATTCATTCATTTATTTTAATTTGACCAGAGATAGACAGACATACAGAGAGGACAGTGAGAAAGCAAGCCACCAGGTCCAGGACTTGAACCGTGGTCAGTCATGTGTGAATGTCCAGCGCCTTAGCCATCGCCACCTGCTGGCCCCCGTGCCCAATATGTATTTTTTTTTTGATAGGTTTTCCCTATAGGGCACCTGTGCTCGCCAGACAGACAGAGAGAGACATAGAGACAGAAAGCGAGAAATCACCCCCCAGGGGGATAGTCACGCCACAATCCCTTCTCCTCCATTCTCCTCTTGGGATCTTGGGCACGCACGCACATGCGCCCGGCGTGAGTTCTAAGCCACCGGGACCGGGATGCGAACCGCGGTCGACTACGTGGGAGCCCAGCGACATAGCCATTACGCTAACTGCTGGTTTCCCCAATATGTATTTTTAAAAACTGTACTGTACCCTACAAAGATATATAATGATTGGGCATGCACACATAAGCACTCGGCATGAGTTTCTAGCCTCCAGGTCAGGGGTTCACGTCCCTGTTCGGGGGCCACCTGTCCGGGCCTGCTGGGCAAGATGTAAACCTGAGTGGGAACAGGAGTGGATTAGAAAAGACAGACACGCAAATAGAGAAAAGTGGGGATCAGGTGGTCCGGGCGTCTCTGATGGAGATAGCTGCAGCCTTGAGCCATTCCCAGGTTTATTCTTTTACAGGGCAAAAGGGGGTGGTAGCAGGATGAGCCGGATGTCTTACAAATGTAGCAAATGCAAGTGGGTGCTGCGGAACATCCTGTGTCTTGCAGTTCAGAACTAGCTCCCCTGCACACTCTGGCTGATGCACACTTTCTACCTTGCTGGCCTTGAGAAACCATGTCTTTGCTCATCTTTAAAGGCTACCATTGCTCTGCCCAGATTCCACAACTCCCTGCAAACCGCACTGGACCAGGTGGAAGTCCAGTGCCTTAACCACTATGCCACTCTGCTGGCTCCTCCCTATTTTTTTTTTTTTTTAAAGAATTATTTAATTTTATTTCTTCTTCTCAGTAAAGTTTTCCTATGTCTGCTAAATTTGGACATTCTTTTCTGCTGACTGACCTTAAGTCATTTTGAGACAGAGACTTCTATTTTTTAATTACTAACCTAAGAATTTACAAATTTACCTAGAACCCATAAACCCCAGCTTCTAGACTGTCTGCCTTTTGGGGCCAGACCCACCCACATGAAAATTCCATGTGTTGATCTATGGTTCTGCTGGTAACACCTGCTCTCAGAACCAAACAAAGGAACTGCTGTACCCAAGCCCCTCGCCCCTACATTTTCTCAGGGATAGCGGAGATCTATTACAAGCCATACTCACTCAAATGTGGGTAGGAATAAATCTTTTAAAATATTCTTACAGAGTTCGGTTATTTCCGTCAACAGGCTGTTTCCCACGGTTTGTTATTGTTAAGTAGACAGGCAACACACACCCCTGACTGGACTGAACTTCGTCTTCCAACTTCCGAGCACAGCCATTCCATTAATGGGACAGACTCAAGGGGCAGCAGAGGGTGGCAGCTCTCACTTTTGGAAAAGCTTTCAATACACAGGGCGATTCTGCCGTCCTTGAAAAGGTGTAATTACTTAGCATTTAGGAAAACCATGGATCGACGTACACACTCGGGTAGCTTAGCATCAGGTCATTATTTTACCCTTTCCTCAGGCTCCCGCCCTAAAGCAATCTGAAACCAGGGCTAGAAGCCCAGAAAGGCCAACTTCTCAGCAGGGTCTCGCCTCCTGCGCAAAAACCTAGCGCGGGCAGCGGCGCCTGGTTCCTTACCTGGGCAGCCCCAGGGCCTCCTCGGTGTGGCCGAGGGCGCTGGCGACCGTGGGCAGCGCCAGCACTCCATCAAGGTCAAAGACGGCTGCGCGCAGCGCCATGGTGGCCGGGTTGCAGCCTCCCCCCGGGGACACCAGGCGCTAGAAGGAAGAGCGCCACGCCCCGGGGCTGCACTGCCCCGGCCTTGCAGCTCGAGCCCCGCCCCGCTCCCAGTCCGGCCCCGCCCAGGCCCGCCTCCGCCAACAACTGGTCGGGTCCAAGTCCCGGCCCTGCCCAGACCCCACTCCTACCCCGACTGCCACCCCCACCCTCCAGCTGTCGGCGCACCACCTGATCTGGCCCTGGCCCGGCTTCTGCCTCGCCACTTCCTGGGTCGCCGCCTCCTCCCATCCCGCCCCTAGTCCCAGCCCCCGCCTCAGCCCTGCCCCTGGCCCCCTCCCAATTCTGGACCTAACGTGATGATCATGGGGGACGTGGGACGCACCCACAGCAGCGCCCTCTTCACTTCTAGCTGCCTCAGGCACCTAGACCCCTCTGGATGTACCGTCTCCATCTCTTCAAATGAAAGTCCTAAGACACACACCCAACTCCTCTCCCCAGTTCCTGGTGGCTACTTGAAGAGGTGGACCCATACGCCCCACCTCTTCTGGGGCTGCTCACTTGAAAAACTAGCCAGACTTTCAGTACTCCTGGACAAGCCTGAGAAAGAGCAGGGGATCTTTTGGCTGGAACGGCCATCTTCCAGTAATTCACCAAAACGACAACACAACGGGAAAGAGGAGAGGCACCCCATGTTTAGAAAACATGGAGTGGTTCCTTTGGCAACATCTATGCGAATCTAACAAGAAAGAGCATGTGTAGCTATCAAGGGAATGGGTACTGTTCAAAAAGGAATGTCCCACAAATGTTACCATGGCAAAACTGGCAGTCTACCTTACCCAGCATGCTGTTGGCATTGCTGTGAACAAACAAATTAAGGGCAAGGTTCTTGCCAAGAGAATGAATGTGTTGTATTGAGCATATTAAGCATTCTAAGAGCAGAAATAGCTTCCTAAAACTTGTGACAGGAAATGATCAGAAAAAGAAAGGAAGCCAAAGAGAAAGGTACCTGGGTTCAACTGAAGCACCAGCCTGCTCCACCCAGAGCAGCACATTTTGTGAGAACCAGTGGAAAGGAGCTTGTGAATTCATGGCATGAAGGGTGTTAAAAATAAACTATTCTATGATCTATAAAAATATTTTCCGTAATTGAGAAGAATTGTGTTGCCTCCCCAAAGCTAATTTTAATTGGATTCGAATTCATTTTGTGATATCTTTATTCAAACAGTATTTTTTTTTTACCTGAAAGCTGTTGGGTGGCTTACTATGGAACAAATAAAACTCAGTTGTTTAGGAAAAAAAAAAAAGAGCAGGGAGTCTCAGACTCTTTATGAGTGTGTGTGTGTGTGTGTGTGTGTGTGTGTGTGACATGAACGTTTTTATTCAACATTGGGTCCTTTAATATTCATCTTGCTAACCTATCTAGTAAGCTAGTAGTTTGTTGCAAAGTTTTTGCCACAGGGCACACGTACGCTGGAGAGAGAGAGGAAAGTAAGAAGTCATCTCCCCTCCCCCAGGGATTTAGGACATCTCAATCCCTTCTCCATTCTTCTTTGGGGATTTTAAGTAAATTCACACATATGACTCACCTTAACCACCAAGTGACCTCCTTCCCCAGTAAGATCTGTCTGTTCTAGATCTGGTATGTAAGTTTATAGATTTGTCACTATCCTGACCACTCTTTTAAGCATACTGTTTGCCAAGACAAACTGCTTCTAGAGTAAATTCTGGTGTTCCAGGTATGGGTGTTGACCCATACCCTTCCATTCCAGTCTCTTGTGCAATGAGAATTAAGAAAAATAAATTTTCACTATTGTTTCCCATTGTACATTGTACTTCGAGAAGAAATAAATTTGGGCTATTGTTTCCCATTGTACATTGTACTTCGAGTGCTGCTTAAATATGTGGGAGGTTTGTTATTAATCACTGATTTCCATGCTATCAGCAAGCTTATGTTTCTGGAAAAAAATAAAACTCTCTTTTGGGAGTCCTGAGCTTTGCAGTTAGCTCCATGAATTAAAAGTGTGCTTGTGGTCTTGTGTTCCAATTTGCCAACAGCATGATTCAGGACACAGACAATGGAGATCTTGTTTTTGAAGGTGTCATCTGTAAATTTGTCCCAGATATTCTCCGGTAGCTACAAGAATGTTCAGGAACATTGTCAGAGGCCTTACTGAAACCAAGAGATCTATGGCATTGTTTGGGTCTTACAGTCACCAATCAGAACTGCACAGAGATGAGCTGCTCATGGACTGACTGGTTCTCCGCCGGTCACACCAATGCTTCGTCGTCTTGCTTCATTAGTCTCCCAGGATCTTGCTGGGACAGCTGTTAATGTTTTCTGAGATTCATTCCTGAGAAGCAGGAAGCAGTCAAAAATGCCAAATGTTTCAGAAAGGACTGAAAAGGCCATTAGATTTTGGACTTGGATGACACTGGGAGACCTGTTCTAGAATATTTCCAATGGAGTTTTGGAAGAACAAACTCAATTACCTAGGGCTTAAAGACTGAAAGATAGGCGAAGAAAGGGATGCAGTAAAGTTGGTGATCTCAAAAGTAAAATACATACACACACACACACACACACACACACATATATATATATGTAAAGTGTAGCCTGACCTGAGTAGGATGAAATTTCTTCAATTTAAATCTCCAGCTTAGACTTTCCTTTGGGCTCTACACTTGCATGTCAAACTTAGTATTTAACATCCTTAATGAGTGTCTAATAGGCATCTTGAATTTATCATGACTGAAACAAAAATCTTATTTCCTTCCTGCCTTCCAAGTGGGTTGCTCCCCATTTTGCTAAGAATCATCCCCATTGATTCCATCCCTCAGTCCAGAACTCTTGTAGTTACTTCCTGATCCCTGGCTCCCCAGTAAGTCATGTGTTCTTGAACTCAGTTCCAGTGGTGGCCAGCTAATTGGGACAGAGATAGCAACTTCTAGTTCAATGATGACGTTTTCAATTTGTCCTTCTTAATGGCTGAGCCTGAAGCTCTCTCCTCCCTCCTTTCAAAGACTTTGCAGACTTCTAATCTCCTGTATTAAACCCTTTTCTTCTTTTTCTATTTAAAACAATTAGAGTCCTTTGTATTGCCTGCATATGAATTCTGACTTGTATAGTATTACTTATAAATACATAAATATGTTTATAAAAGCAACACAGCAAACAGGAAGGATATGTCTGTAGAACTGGATTTCCTAAATCTGCCTTTTTAAACTTAATTTGCCTGCAGGAATGTGTGCTTTGCAGACAGAGACAGAGAGACAGAGAAAGAGGGAGAGTAGGAGAAAGCCACCCCCAGAAGGACATGGTCATGCCTCAATCCCTTCTCTTCCCTTTCTCCATTCTGTTGGGATTTGGGGCATATATGAACATGCTTCTGGCAAGTTTTTATGCCACCAGGTCCAGGACTCAAAGCAGCCGCCAGGTCCAGGTCAAACATGAGGGATCCAGTTCTCTTAACCACTAGTCCACAGAACTGGCCCCATAATTCATCTTGTAAGAAGAAAAATTAGAAACTTAGAAATACAAGACTCCATTTTCATATAGGAATCATCTGTAGTTAGGAAAAAGTAATAAAGCTTTCATATAGACCTTTGGTTTATTAGGAGCAGTTAGTTCTGCTAGTAACTCCTAGTAAATAGCTCTGCTCTGGAACATTTTATAATATCTATGAGTTGCAGAACTTCCTGGCAGAATTGCTTAAACAAAGATTAAAGGTCTCAATTGAATTTGCCCTTTCTCATGGGTCATGCTTCCCCAATGTTTTCTGCTACCAGGTACGGGGAGATAAGAGTTCACTCAGATGGACTGTGGAAATTTGATATCTTTTTGAAATGTAAATCCAAAACCCTACATCTGTTCATTTTAATATTTCTGAAATATGTTTCAGGTGATAACATGAAATCATAAGAAGAGGCTAATGTAGAAGTGAAAACCATAAATTATACGTGATGTCAATCACAAAATTTGTAATGAACTTACAGTGAACTAATTTGGTGGTGGGTTGGATTTCCTGCCAGCCCCTCCCCCCACGCCTTTCTCCTAGGGCTTAGTTTCTCAGCCCAATTTTTATTAATTTTTTTTCTTTTTTCTTGTAGAGTCCATGCATGCACACGTGAGAGCACATGTGTGCACACATGAGTGAGAGAAACGTGCTCCCTCCATAGGGTCTGGTCACGCCACCATCTCCTTCCTCTGGTTTGTAGAATCCTAGTCACTCACACAAGTAGCCAGTTTATTTCAGGCTGACCAAGCTGGGGATTTCAACCTCAGTTGCTGTGTGGCAATCCAGCTTCTCTTGAGTGGCTCATTGTCTCTCTGTACTACAGAGCTGGCCTCTGGCCTGATTTTCAAAACTCTGTTTAACTTGTGGAGATTGAAAGAGTAATTTAGACAGTTGTTTCTCCCTTCTGTCTGTGTTTGAATCAAGCTAGTAAACCCATTTCTTTAATTCATTTAACAAATGGGTCACACACTGTTCTAGGTACTTGGAAATCATTGGTAAAGAAAACAGAGAAAAATAAGGGCTACTGAAGTCTTCCCTTTTATTGGAATAAGCATTCACGTGGCTAGCTAGTTGCTTCTGAGGCCATGAGAGATGAGATTGGGAATATTTGTGGCAGCTACTTTTCAATTTTCTTATTTGTCATGTTACTAGCTGCCTAGTATTTATAACCATTTCTTATATGTAGACAATTCCATCCCGTAGAGTGCATTGGTCATTCAGAGATAGTCAACCTCCTTCAAACATCTTCCATTTACTTTGATAGTTCTGCCTTCTGGTAAAATCAACAGGCACCACATTTCCCAAGCTCCCTTAATGCTCACCATGTGAAGTGGGATCGGCCAAATGGTCCCTACGTGCCTGAGACTTGGGGATGGGGATGGGCCACCTGAAGCAAGAGCTGTTGGAGTTGAAACTTTCTTCTGGCAATGGCAGAAGTTTCTCCAGGGGGATGGAGGGCGGGCTGAGCTGGGGCTTCCCCAGTC